TAGCTGCACAACTATTGAAGATAGGTATATACTTTATTATACAAAAGTTACTAAAAATCTCATGGAAAATCCAAAAATTAAAAAAGAAATGGTGGTTTCCATTTGAAAATCTACAGAAACGTCCCACTAGAAATCAAAATTGACGTATCCGAGCGTTTTTCCCAAAATATACCACCCTGTATATTATATAGCCTACCGCACTTTCATGACAGGATCTTAGACTATACAGGGTGTTTCAGTTTATTGTTGCATAACTTTAAGATTCGATAGAACTTTTAAAATTAAAGCATAAAGTGTATATAAACATGTGTCGAAAAATGCTTGGCCTCCGAAATACAGGGTGTTTAAATTTACTTTTTAAAATAGTTTTTTTTAAATATTTCGAACAATATTTGATGTATAATAGTGAAAATTGGTATACACGGGTTTTTTGGTACGACAAAACGAACCATGGGCATAGTTTTACTATAGCCGCTAGAGGGCGTTCTCTACTGTACCTGTAGTGTATTAAAATGACCGAAAATTTTTACTTAGTTTAATTTTTTGCTTTTTGAATAAAGAAACTGATTCTTCGCACTTTTCAACATAAAATAGCTCTCTTGTGAATTTTCGTTATAGTTAGCCGTTTTTGATATATTTCGATTATCAGTGTTCGATGCATTTTTACTTATTTATGATAAAATAACGTTAAAAAGTCAGTATCTCGATAATTTTTAGAAGTTGGCTGTGCCTGCAAATATTTTTGAAATTGAAAGCAGAATAAGGTTAAACGTCAATTAGTTGACAGTTAGTTGAAGAAGCAGCCAGAGAATACGCACGAAGATTTCCAAACAGACGACATCCAACTCGCTCAGTATTTGTAAGAGTGCATCGCCAAATAATTGAAAATGGTTTTGGAAATCTCCAAAGGGATCAAAACATAAATGTTCGTCAGAGCAGATTTACCCGTATGATTCTGCGTGAGTTTGATAGAGATCCGACCACAAATGTTAGGAGAGTTTCTGGTGCCTTGGGAATTTCAGCAAACCATGTTCACTGTGTTCTTAGAAATGACCATAGACGTCCTCACCATTTGCAACCTGTGTAAGGACTACAGCCATGGGACGGAGAACGAAGAATCACATTTTGTCAGTGGATTCTTGATAGAACTGATAATAATAGGGAGTTTTTAAGTAACGTTTTATGGACCGATGGGTCATGCTTCAGTAGACGTGGAGTGGTAAATTTTCATAATCAACATATTTGGTCGCATGAAAATCCGCATGCAGTTCGGGAAAGAAATTTTCAGCATGAATTTAGTGTGAACGTGTGGATTGGTATCTACCGTAATCGACTATTTGGACCATACCTTTTGCTTGCAAGGTTAAATGCTGCGACCTTCTTGGAATTTTTAAAGGCTGAACATGCAAATATGTGGGATGATGTTATGCTAGATTTAAGAAGATTGGCCTGGTTCCAGCTTGATGGTTGTTCAGCTCATTATTCGAGAATAGTTAGAAACTGGCTGGACGAAAATTATCCAGAAAGATGGATCGGCCGTGGAGGACCAGTCGCCTGGCCTCCACGATCCCTGACCTAAATCCATTAGATTTCTTTGTGTGGGGATTTCTAAAAGAAAAAGTGTACCAGACTCCCGTAACCACAAGAGATATGGTAATAGACAGAATCAGGAATGCATGTGATGAAATAAGGCATTTGAATAATGCTATACCACGTTCGATCATTCGTAGATGTGAATTGTGTATTGAACAATTGGGTTTACATTTCGAGCAACTACTGTGGATTTTGTATGTTTGTCCAACTATCCAATAGCATTTTAGTTGTAAATAATGAATTTAATTTGTTAAAAATAATATTGGAAAATTAAACAAATTCTGTTTTTTGTGTTTATTTGGAGTTAGGAATTATTGCTATGTTTAAAAAGACAATCTAAACGATCATCTTGATTACTTGTAATGCTCAAATCAAAATTGTAAAAAAAAATAGTATTTTCCCATAAATAATTAAAAATGCATCGAACCTGAAAAATCGAAATATCTCAAAAAAGGCTAACTATAACGAAAACTCACAGGAGAGTTTTTTTTATGCAGAAAAGTGCGAAGAATCGTTTTTTTTATTCAAAAAGCAAAAAATTGCACTAAGAAAATTTTTTCGGTCATTTTAATACACTACATGTACAGTAGAGAGCGCCCTCTATCGGCTACAGTAAAACTATGCCCATGGTTCGTTTTGTCGTACCAAAAAACCCTTGTATACCAATTTTCACTGCTATACATCAAATATTGTACGAAATATTTAAAAAAAAAGCTATTTTAGAAAGTAAATTTAAACACCCTGTATTTCGGAAGCCACGCATTTTTCGACCCATGTTTATATAGACTTTATGCATTAATTTTAAAAGTTCTATCGAACCTTAAAGTCATGCAACAATAAACTGAAACACCCTGTATAATACACAACTCAATATTTTTCCTTGATAGCAGATTCTACGGCAATGAAAATCGAATCATGATGCTATGTTTTACAAACACACTTTCAGGTCATTCCAAGCACGATTGTAATTCCAAACGGGCTCATAAAAAGACGTAAATAAGCGCGTTCAGAAGAAACCAATTACGAGGTTTGCAGAATCAGTTGGCTCGACTTTGTCCAACTGTGTTGTTTTACTTCGATTTGCTGCTTATACGGAGTTTACATGCATGTAAGGTACGAGAAAGGAAGATCGTATTAACCTGTACCTGTTGAAGGTCTCCTCTCGTTACGTCTACTGAGAAGTAATTCTTTTCGCATCCTACATCGTTGGCTGTTTTATGAAGAAAAATTTGCGTTTGAAGTACCGAGTTGTATAAACAAAATTGGCATCAAGTTGGTTGACGATGCACTTCGTACCCAACGCTGTTTTCAATTCATGGAAGATTATATTAGGCACAAGTTAGTAAATATGTATATAACGGTTTGACTACGGCTGTCGCCGCCTCTCCGTCCGCAATTTCGATCAGTTTCTGTCACATGAAGTTGCCTCTTCTAAGTTTCTTGATGCCATTGCCTCATAATTATCTTTGATCGGCCAACTTTTCCGTGGTCGTACTCTCGTTTTTCTCTCAGCAGTATTTTTCTAGACCATCTATCATCTGTCATTCTTTTTATATGTCCGAATCAGGTTAATTGCTTTCTTTCTATGCACTCACTGATATTTCGTTCCATTTTCATTTCGTTTCTTATTTGTTCATTTCTGAGTCTCTCCAGATTCGATATATCGCAGCTTTGCTTCAAGTACTCCATTGTGTTCTTGTTTGTATTCGCTTTGGTGACGTCCCATACTTCCGAACCGTAAAGTGTAATGCTCCGTAAATGTATTTTTTTGTTTTCGTCTAATTGATTTTTGCCAGAGACGAGAGCTCACGGCACGGGGGCACGGGTCACTGTTTACTCTTTCCCTGATTTCATCTTAGCTATTTAGCCTTTGATGTTGCCGTCTTCCAAGATTAGGTCACATGTTTCGTCGGTTCCCACTGAAAGATTTTACACTGTCATATTTATGCTAAGACCTGCCACCTCATATTCTTCCTGTAGTTTTGTTACCATATAGCTCATATCGTCGCTGTCTTCAGCAGTCACTACCTGGACACCGTTACTCCCATGTTTGTGGTTCGAAAAGGAGCGGTGACTTCGTCTCCTATTTTGATTCTTGCTGTTTTCTTCGTAGTACTTTTGGGTAGCGTTAATAAGAACTGGGTTTATTTTTAAGTTTCCCGCTTGTATCCACAGTTGTGAGATCGGTACACTGTCATACGGTTTTTCCAGGTCTATTAAAGCTATACGTGTATAGTCAGTAAGTCTCATTAAATTAAGTATTTAAAACACACACGACAACAGCGCGTCGGTCATCATCACTCTTATCGAAGCGGCAATCGATCGCAAACGTAACAGTGGTTAGTATGTTGTTTTGTTTTTGTTCGCGGACGTTGTCGTATTGATTTACAATGTTCTCGAAGCAAGAGTTCGCCGACATGTTGTTAGTTTACGGTGAAGCTCGTCGGAATTCAAATCTTGCAGCTCAAATTAATCGCAACAGATTTCGCCAACGGGTACACTCAGACAGAAGGACATTTGTGCAAGTGTACCAAAGACTTCAAGATACAGGAAGTGTTCAGCCCACTAATATTCTCACTCGTCAAAGACAGGTTACTGTAGAGCAGGAGGAACAAATTTTAAATATTGTGGAAATCAATGCAGACATCAGGACTCGGGAATCGGGCCGCCGCGTAGGACTATCGCATACCATAGTCCATAGAATCCTACGGAAAAATTTGCTTCATCCCTTCCATGTACAACGAGTGCAGGCCTTGTTACCGGAAGACTATCCTCGCAGACTAACATTCTGTCAGTGGTTTGTGCACAAAAACATTGAAAATCCGGATTTTTTTAAAAGCATTCTAGCGACGGCCGAATGTACTTTTACGCGAGACGGGATATTAAATTTAAATAAGACTCACACGTGTGCCCAAGAAAATTCTCATACCATACGTGAAGGTCGTTTCCAACAATGTTTTAAAATAAATATTTGGGCGGGTATTCTTGACGATCAGGTAATTGGCCCTTTCGAGTTACCCCCAAAGTTGTCAGGAAAAGGATACCTTAGCGTTCTAGCCAATAACCTACCAGAACTTTTGGAACAGACCTTAGACAACATGCCATTACAACGGAGACAGAATTTGTGGCTTCTTCATGACGGGGCACCACCACACATTTTTAGAGGCGTCATTCAGTATTTGAATGAACATTATCCAAATCGCTGGATCGGCCGAAATGCTCCTGATCCTCGAAAATGGCCAGCAAGATCCCCTGACCTGATTTCTGGTATTGGGGAGAACTTAAAGAGATGGTTTATGAGGCTGGTCCAATAACAACTGAAGCACAAGTTGTCGAAAAAAATTTTTTAATAAAATCCTGCTTGCTCTTCGGGCTGTTTGTCTTTGATGTGGGCTTCTGTCAGGTACCGTAGTATTTCCGAGTATAGTCGGCTTGTAGTCGGTATCACTGCTATAGTTTTTAGAATCCATCTTTGTGCCTTTCTTGTGTATTGGAAAGTTGATTGTCTCCATTATTCAGGAACTTCTTCTCCGTTCAGGCATATAATTTTCGAAGCATTTCAAACATCTTTGGTGATCCATACCTGATCAACTCTGGGTGTATTCCGCCAGGCCTGGAGATTTTCTCAGTTTCATTCCCTTAATTGCGACTTTCACTTATTCTATTGATATTTCTATCCTTCATTCTACTTCGATTTGGTCATTTGTTTGTATAAACTTTTCTCTTCTCTCTGTTAACAAGTACTCAAAATGCTAGTAACTTAGTCCCTTCCAGAAAAACAGTTGACTACGGACATGTATAGCAGAGAAATTAAATTGTTCATATCAGTCAAACAGGCTCATACAATTGGTCCATAGTCCCCCACATCGTAAATGAGCTGGAAGAAGCTGCAACGCATTTTAATGCAGGTAAGGCATCAAGATTAGATGAAATACGAAATGAGTTCATGTTGTATGTGATGAATGAATGCTTGAGAACAGGAGCGTTTCAGAAAAGATGGCAGGAGGCTGGTTTGGTACTCAAACCGAGTTCAATTGGAAAGCTATTAGAACGACAGATAGAAGGTAGGCTAAGAAAAAACGTCGAGGAAAACAATGGGCTGTCTCCCTACAATATGTATTCAGAAAGGGAAAATCTGTTATAGATGCACAATGTCACGGCTGGTGGAAGTAGGGGAGAGCGATGGCTACAGTAGTGAGAAGCTTTGCGTTATCGTTGCTTTTGACTTTAAGAATGCGCTGAATAAGGCACAAGCAGAAAATTGTAGGATCTTTCGAGAAGTTATGCACGCCTGGCTATCTATTAAACATGAAAAATAGCAACTTTAACAAGATGGCACTATGGTGGGACAAAAGACGATAAAGGTAACCATGGAAGTATCGCAGGGCTCTGTTCTAGGGCCGTCGCTTTGGAGCGTATTCTACGATGGGGTTCTCCGGTTACTGATGCTGCCGAAAATTCACCTGAAAGGATATGGTAGTGTCTAGAAAGAATAGAGATATACTAGAAGGACTCCTGGCATATGGAATCACTAGATTTGCCATATGGATGGAAGAAAATGGCTAAAAAACTAAAGCTAACTTCATTAGCTGTTGGGGTTGAGGATGCAGAGAATAAGGGCCATATCATCAGTTGTTCTTAGACTTCCCAAATAGCAAAGTAGTGGTATAAGCTTTTGGTAAACGAACCGTTCAGCCATAAAAGCTCTCTATTGTTGTTGCTGGACACGAAAATGCTGGCTTAATGTTGTGTGGAATACAAATTTGCTTTCTGCAACATATTTGCTCTAAAATGAGGTGTTTAAAATATTCTTATAGCATAGTTATACAACACCTTATAGGGCAAATTCTTAACTGTTGCATAACCGTTTATACAACTATTTTATACGGCATATTTGCAAGTTAGTCAAAATGGTTGTGTTGTGGCACCCATGCTAACGTTTATAAAACAAACCCGAGCCTTGTTGCTTTGCTGTGCAATTTACTACATTAGCCATCAAATTGCTCCCAACGGAAGCACTTATACAACTGTTACATATGCTAAATATGTTGGTAAACAACTTCACCATAACTTAACTTTCTGCTGTCATATTTTTGTTAAAATGCCATAACCAGTGTTTTAAGACAAACAACACATGCCTATCGGTTCAAAAGGTTTTACCAACTGTTCAAACAGTAGATATAGATCTGTTACAAATTCTGGGTAAATCATTCGACTCTGTCGGTATTTCATTTCAGTCATTTGACAAATTGTTGTATAACACCTGCAGGCAACACCAAAATATTCTAATAACCTAAAGACAACATGGACGATGCCATCATTGTACACAACCACCCGCCATATTGGGCAAACATTTATTCCTCTATTTAATATTAAATAATCATGTTTCAGTTCGAAATTACAGATATAAAGTGATAAACATTAGTGTAATTGTGTCTAAATATAGAGTTTGTGGAAGATTTAACGCAGATAAGTTCAGTTTTCCATCTTAAAAATCTAGACATAGTTTTGATCATTGTCAAAATATGAATCAAATGCGAAGCCCGTAGAAATTAGGTAACTAATTTGCACGATAATCACAATAAGTGCGCTGCGCTGCGCAAGTAATTCAATAGCCCTATATCAAAGTGTAGAAGTTTATCATATACCTGTGTATGAAATTCACAATGGCCGATATGTAAGTAAACAAGATGACTGTAATGTGTTAGTTATATATTCTTCACTTTGTCTATACAATACATAGGAAATAGTTTGGTAGCAATAAAGTAGAATCACGTAAGAGAATAGTTGTATAGTTGACAAAAACTGAATCTTGCACTGACGCAAATGTCCTGTAGCGGCTGCAAGAGGCTTACACTTTTGTTTTATAACTGTTACCTGCAGCCCTTATACAACCTCTTAAATGACTGAAGTGCGCCCATTCCGCTTGTATAGCTGTTCTAAGAGGGTTTTGCTAATGTTCTTACAGTATACAATGCTGTTTAAGGAATACTGTATAATCATTCTTGCAACTCTAATAGGAGTAATAATTGTTAGTTGGGTTGTAGAACGCCTTTATGACCTCCTTGATTTTCATACTCTTTTCTCCCTACAGAAGGGCTGGGTGTTATTTTTAGATTTCTACTATTTCGCGTCAGCATCAGCACGCTCGTATTGTTAGGTTATGTTTTCTTTATGAATCTTAAGAAATTTCAGGCTGATAAAACAGATGATAGAAATCAATCAAGCATTCAAAATGAAAATATAGCCTGAAAATAGAGTGCTTACACGAAACAGTAGAAATCTACAAGTACCTCTGCTCTTCTGAAGAATCAAGGAGGCCATAAAGGCGTTCTACAATTGCCGGAACGGCTGACGATACGGCCGTTAGAGTCAAAATGCAAATGTTAAATCTTCTAGAAAAAAGCTAGTTACAAACATGTAATCATGATAAACAAATCAGTCCATAACATCCTCTCCCTGTACTACCCAACATCGCGTCGCCTTCCTCCAATATCAGAAAGCATGATGCGTCATACACGGCAGGGCAGCAGTCATGCAGGACACACACGAACACCGGCACGCCGGGCGTAGCCGTTGAAGTCAGCAGACGCAGGAACGCTTGTCAAAAACGTTCTTACATCGTTCAAGTTTCAAGACCAAATGTACGGGACAACATTTGTCTCATAACATATGTCCTAGAAGTTTTGGCACAAAATATTTATCTGATTTTTTTTAATGAAGGAATATATCTAAACACTAACTAGTTATCATAAAAATCAGTTCAATATTTAACTAAAATATACTTTCCAATGAGTTTTGTGGCACGCAAAATTATCGGGATTTGAGGAATATACTACATCGAAAAATTATGCGTGGGGTGGTCTTGTTCAAGACGGACGTATGAACAGCACGTTAATCGCACCACACTTGATCATCAACCTGTCATTATTAGCGAATCCTTTTCTTCTCGCGCAATAACACGCTTTCTTTTTTATAGAGTACAAGAGCCACAACTTAGTGTAACTAATGACTCTCTTCACTTTTACTTTCTAGTTTTGTCGAGGATCCGTAATCACTCGCATTTACAGTGATGTTATAATGATAGTTAATGAAAATCGAAAGTGGCTACTTTTGCCGTTAGACATCACATCACGCTTCCTTCACATTTAGTAAATTCATCATTGATGATGTTGCGTAATATTCTTCGCTATACAGGTTTCATTAGATTTCTTAAATGAATTTCGAATTGTTGTATGTAGTCGCCAGAGGTGGAATCTGCAAATGGTCGTAATTGGTATTCATGACTCTTTATTTCAAAGCAATAACCAAAAAAGTAATACTCTAAAATCAACTGATTGATGAGGAATCCTCCTGAATAGTATGTTGAAAAATTACGAACTCTCGCTCCGTATTGCCCAAAATTATTTGAACTTGAAGAAAGTAGACATTTGCATTGTTCGATGAAGGTTGGGGATAACATATGTTCTGAAGGTTTTGGCACAAAATTCATTGGCTTTAATTTTAACAAACACAACATAAGATCAAGTTGCCTTTGGAAGCAAAAGTTTGTTTTACTGTTAGTAGACATTTATTTATACTGAAGTATTGGCTTTAAGATCACGTATAAATTATAAATAAAGAAAAGTATCTACAAGCTGGTTGGGAGGGTACCCAAACCTGAAATCTGTCGAATATTCTATAATTTCACCCAGAAATACAGAATATTTTGTGTGAAAACTTTTTAGACATGAGTTAATTGTAACAAAATCATGGACTCATGGACAAAATCAATATATGTCACTCAAAAATGGAAGAAAAATAGCTTTTCTGTTTTTCCAAGTTCTAGCCAAATCCAAGCTCAAAGGCAAGATGTGTCAAAACTAAAGCTATTAGAAAACATTGACATTAAACATATTTTTAGTCAATTTTGTTCCACTCTTACAATGATATGAAGTAGCGCAGTTCTTTCGTACAAAATAGACTTGACTACTATGTGGAATATCAGAAATCTTTTTCTATACTGAAAAATACATTTCGAGGCTTCAAGACGTACGTTGAACTGGCGAGCCATGTGCAAGTAATATACTAAGTGACATATAAATCCGAACACCCAGTTTAAATGGTTTTATTTTAATAAAACTTTGTACTTAATGAAGCATAATAAGTAAATGATAAAAATTTCAAAATGATTGCACTGCTTTAAAGCCCTTTGACCTTTAATAATGTGTGGATACACCCTGATGTGCTACGCATTCTCCAACGCGCCTAGGCATGCTTCTGATCAGGTGGTCAATGTCCTCCTGGGTATCTCATTCCAGGCAACCACCAACTCCTCTCGAAGTGCTTCTAGAGTCTGAGGAGGACGTTGCAAATTGAGCAATCTCCTACCCATCATAGCCTACACGTGCTCAATTGGGGATAAGTCGGGAGATCTTGGTGGCCATGGTAACAATGTAACATCATTATGTTGAAAGAAGTCTATTGTGACTCTTGCAACATGTGGTCGGGCATTATCTTGTTGGAAAGTTGG